CTCAATATTATCCTGTAATTACCCATGGCTGCTTGTTTTATTTCATTGCTTTTATGTCAGCATTGCAAGTGGTCGATAGGGACTGCCACTGTTCCAGTTCTCTAGGCAGAATTTAAACATGTAATTTATTCCAAATGTAATACTTCAATACACTTGTAAAGCTTGTGCCACATTCTAAAGTTGAAGTTGAATCTATTTAATAGTTTGGCGTGTTGTGCCTTTGCTCACTCTTACAACAAGGATGCTGTAAAAGCTGCATAAAATGATGCACAGTCAATGCAGTGAGCATCTCTGGATCTGGCTTCTGTTGAAATCATGAGTTTATTCTGACTCGGTTCTGATTCCATCCTACAGTCTGAAGAATTAGATCTTAGTGACTGAAATGGAAAAGGCTCGAATTCTTTTTCATTTTAGTACAGTTATTCTGACTAATTTTATATCCTGAATTTAAAGTTGCAAGCCAGCACTTTGTCCCACTCATGTAGGATCTAAACACACAGGGTAGGAGATGTTGCATGATCAATGGGAGTGTAAATAGATTATTCCTTAGTGAGTTTTACTCAATGATAACTACTTTTCAGTTGCCTCAGGGATATTTTTCTGTAAGGATAAGCATAAATAATTGTTACAAAATTATTTTGATATGACATACAAAATATGAAGCAGAAAATTGAAACGCAATATAACAGTAATAAATAACTATTATACATAATGTTACCAATAAAATAAAGTACAAATAAATGTTATTAAGTGCTGTATAACGTAAACTACTATATAGCAAAATAGCAGTATAGGAAGGAGAGGCCAAGAGGACTAGGTTTGTTCAGCCTGGACAAGAGGCTCTGGGAAGACGTAATTCTACTGTCTAAAGGAAGGTTATAGAGAAGATAAAACAACATTGTCTCTTTCGGGGGTGCATAGCAAAAGCACTGGAGACAATGGCTACAGCTGGCAGAAGGGAAAATGCTGACTAGACATACAGAAAATACTTTGCACAGATGGGGTGGTGCAAAGGTTGCCCAGAGAGATGGTGTAAATCTCTGTCCTTGGAGATGTTCCAAATTCAGGTGGATGTGGCCCCGAGTAGCCTGAACTAGCTTTGAAGTTGGCCCTGGTCTGAACAGGGGGTTGATGACAGCCAGACATCCTAAGTCCGTGGAGCTCTTGACTAAGCTCCCCCACCTTCTGAGAGATTTCAGAGTTATTTTTTGTCCCAGCCAGGTTTAGTTTGCTTGCCCTAAATAAAAAAAACACAGGTATCTGCCTCCTCAGCTCAATAGTAGCTCAAGGAGCTGCTCTTCTGATGAGTGGATCAGCGTGGTGTCAGGTCACCCAAGGGGAGAGGATCGGGGCTGGCACCAGGGCCTGAGATGATCAAGACAGTCCCTGAACCCATGGTAGCCCTGAGATGTGGACTCTCTTAGGAGATACCTAAGCCCTGGCTCCTCCACTTTTACGAAAGGAGAACCTCTTCTGCACTTTTTAAGATAGCCGTAAGCCAGTTTTAAAGACCACAGTGACCTTTTCCATGAAGAAATTACTAATTATGTGTATTTTCAGTTGCATTAATGGAAACTCAAATCTTAGCTGCTTACAAAGGTTGCAGTTGTCTCCTGATGAGGTAGATGTGGAAAATTACCCTCATTCACCCACAACCAGTAAAACTAACAAGCAAAACGATGTTAGCACAGACTTATTTCATCTGGACTGCGCAAACTGCTGTGCAGTATAATGAATATGCTAATGAATGGTAATTTACAGCTAATGAAATTCAAGAAACAGGCCATTTTTCTAGTTTATGTACAGACACCATCAGTGGGTCCCATTATTAATTGGTGGTGCAATATACACAGTACAAATGCTGGGCATGCCAGTTAAGCTGATCCTACAATAATATAGACTTAATAAATTGTTACACATTTTTCTTAATTCAGAATCAACATTTTCTTTCTTCTAGTGAAATCTTGTGCCAGTGTGCCTTTAGTAACATGCAAACGAAGGCACTTTTCTGTAGGAAGTAGGGTGGTAAAATGATAACAAAGCATGGCTGGCAATTCCTCAGTGCCAAGAACTGGAGTTGAGGTTTAAGTTGAATTGTAACAGACAATCTTTTTCCTTCCATTACTTAAATTATAATAATGCTGACAATTTATATATGCCGAATACCTTTTTTCATAAAAAAGAATTTTAGAAGGATGGGCAGGAGTAGTTATCTTTCAGCGGGAAGGAGTCAAAGTTATTTAACATTGCTGTGAGCTCAGAATTGCTGGCCTCAGAATCATTATTTAAAGAAAAATATCGAGTAGCCAATTGCCCAACTGGGTTCATTAAGCAAGTTAAGTAGTTATGCATAGAACAGTTGTAAACACCCATATTTGCATAAAATACATGTAAGGAAAGAGTCTTTGATAACTGTAGACTCCCACGGATGATGTTAGCATCTTGCCTGCCTAGCCCATCTTTACAAAAAAGCTCTGTGTTCCAAATAAGGTAGCTCTAAGCTGTATTTAAAGATCACAAGGACCTTTTCCGTAGAGAAGCCTTTAAATATAGAACTTATGGGACAACAGAACAAAAAGAAAAAAGAATAAATCCTGGTGCAATGCACAAACCAGGAATAGTTCTGATGAAAAAAACTTTAATAACTTTCAGATGTTAAGGAAAGTGTTCCCGCAAGAGTCAAAAAGCAGCCAGCCTCAGGCAATGGCAAGTATTACACAGCTAATGGTTACATCATTCTCTCATCAGTGAGGGCACATCTGAAGAGTCTGCAAAATGAAACAGTATTGCTGTACATTTTAAGTTGTAATTCAGCATGCCAGTATCAGATTTACCGTGACTATGAGCAGGAAGCTATATGGAGGCATCTGTAGTGTTTACTTTTTGGATACCCAGAATTTTAAGACATTTGGATTATCCTCTCTTGTGAGATTGCTTTGGTATTTAAAATCCTACAAGAAATGGTCAGTTCTGTCATGTTTTGTTCAGTTATTTCCAAGTGCACTGTTGAAAACTGAAAGATTAAAACATACCTTGGATTTCTACTGCAGGGGTTTATTTCTCTGTCCATGCCACGCAGATTCACATGTGTTGTTCTAACATGCCACAGAGAATCAAAATTGTTGGAACTTCCAATATATCTGTCAACTGCACCAAAGTTTTAAATCAGTTACAATGGAGACAACTTAAAGGAAGAAGAAACAGCTTTCCTGTTGCATAATAAGATGTACGAATCATAAAGGTTGCCATAAATGTTATTTAAAGGATTGGTGTGAGTCCCAGGTATTCACTCAAAAAGTAAACAAACAATCTCTCATGAGTATTTTAAAAATTTATAAATAAGAAATTATTTGTTGGAGAGTGACTCACACCTGATTAATCTGAAGACAGAAGAAGTAAATATGGACGACAATGAAGCTTCTGGCTACATAAGTAACTCATTCACAAATGGTTTAACATCTGAGATTTCTATAGCAGAAGTCTTCCAACAAGAACTTAATAACATATATTGTGAAGAAGTTGTTCTCATTTGAGAGCTAAGTACTTTTAAAGCTATTTTCTTACAATATTTTATTTTACATTTAAATTTCAAAACATCTCATATTTGTGTTCTGATTGCAAACACATAAATGAAAAGAGAAGTCTAAAAGTCAAAAAGGCATTTGAGCTGTAATTCACATTGGGAAGAACAGGGAAGATCTTAAAAAACCCCATGTGCATTGCCAAAAATATTCAAATGGGTTCTCAGTTAGAGTGGGATGCAACACCATTTAAATGAAAAGTTTTTTTAAAGCTCGGAGATAACAGAGCTTCTTCAGATGTGGTGACTGGAGAAATCTTTTATTCAATGCTCCTCATATTTTATGAAATCATTTTAGATGGAATTGTACCCAAAAGCTTTCTAGATCAGCTGAACAGATTTTTTGCACACATGAACAGACTTAGGGCATATAAAAAGTGAATATCAGCGTACTTTCATCAAAGCAGGAGCCAACAAATTAATTCTGAGTTTAGAAGATGGAAGTCTATTTTCCTTCTCTGCTCCTGACGGGAGTAAGCAGAGGGTCTAGGGGTCTCTTCTATCCTCTTGATTACATTTATTAAGAAGAAAAGAACAAAGTTGGTGTTTATATTACTGTATAGGTCACTCCCTCACACAGCACTTACCTACATATCACTGTTTGCAGAACTGAGTTTTGCAGATCTGGGCTTGCTGGAAACATTAAAGTTGACCCCATCCATGGAAATATGATTCACTGGGCAAGGGAGAGAGCAGGCGTAATAATTTATTTCTGAAATTATCTATGCAAAATAGGCATAAATATATTTGAATACATAAAATAGATTTGAAATGCAGTCAAACAAAGAAACGTTAGTGACTGCTAAATATAGGTACAAACTTTTCTAATAGTCAAAAGAAGACTTAGCTGCATTTCATGTACTTATGAAATAGACGCATGGTTTCAAAAATAATGAAACAAATTAAAGGAACAAAAGTCAGTCAAAAACTGTTAAATTCAAAAGGCACTATCTCTGGCACAGGCAGTCCTTCAGCCAAACTGCTGGTGGAGTTTTCCAGGGCAGTATCACTAAGCACATGCCCTGCTCAAAGACTGTTCCCATAATGACTGTCAGAGATGGGCCAGCGAGCAAGATAAACGTCTTTTCACTGCTACAGTGGTCAATCTTATCTTGGTTTTTCCATACCTAAGAAGTAATGTGGTACTGCAATCAACTGGAGTTAAGAAATGCAAGGAAAAGGATTTTTTTGAGTAGAAACTGTGTTATACAACTGTGTACCTGGGCTTCTCTCACCTTGGGCAGGATCAGTGGCTATACCTGGAACTTCAGAGTGTATATAAAATTTGTCCAGAAACATAAAGGTTGCCTATGTGGTTTGCATGTAAAAGCGCCAAAAGCTGCTTCTTTTCTGACTTAAGTCTGAGTCTTCCCTCACATATTTCTAACACCAATTTTTCCTTTTTTAATGTCATTTTTAGGACTATCAGGAAGCTTCTAATTTGGAGCAGTTTGTGACTCGCTTCCTTTTGAAGGAAACACTGAACCAGCTTCAGTCCCTCCAGAGCTCCCTGGAGTGTGCCATGGAAACCACGGAGGAGCAGACTCGGCAGGAGAGGTGAGCTGCAGTGACGGGGCTGAGGAGTGGGGTCACCATGAACCTCCAAGACCATTTTACATTTTACCCAGCAGCCTGATGTAGGGAGTAACAGGAGAAATAAGGATACACTTTTTATTCCAGACGGGAACTCACTAATAGGAGTTTTCCTGAAATTGAATACAAGCAGGTTCCAATCGGATCCTGTGGTGGATTGCAAGTAGGAGGCCCATTTTCTTTCATCCAAGGCTCTGCCTCTTTGACTTCTTTTTAAATCCATTGACTGTTTAATATCAAATGCAGAAACCAGACCACTGCAATGTGAAAAGCTTTGAAATTACTAAGACCATTGACTGTCTCCTTGTTTGTTTCTTCTGGCTTTATGATTTTTTTTCCATACCGAGTTGCACAATGATCCCAATGTTAAGAGGAGAAATAGCCAGGCTCTTCCTTATTACAGCTTCTTCCTAGAACATAGGGCCCATAGTATTTGTTAACATATAACTCTATAAAGTCTCAGTCACTGGAGTAACCTATATCCATCCAAGCGGTTTAGCTGAATTTAATACCATGACCTCATAGATGACGGTTTGTAGGATCAAGGATCAAAACATTTTTGCACAGGTACTTGGCTTCATGGATTTGTTTTCCTCACAGTATGCTATTGTTAAAGATGACAGGGAAAGCAAAATACAAGCTGTTGGGTTTCATGGACAAGGAAGATCTCAGCAATTCTCATGTTCTAAAATGCACTGCTTTATCATTCTTTTTCTTGGAGATGTATTTTTCTTGCTTGCTTTGCTGATGGTTGTGCAATCTCTGAAGTATATGAATAACACCCAGGGTGTTTTTTTTGCTGACAGCTTGACTGCAGGAATCAAGCAGGTTTTGAAAGGCTGAGGGTGCACCAAGCATGCACAGTATATATACCCCTCCATTCATTTGTACCTCTTTCCAGGTTCCCCACACAACTGATGGGAAAGAAAGAAGTCTCGAATGGCTAGTTCGGAGCCAGACCCTAACTTAGGTGCTGTAAACCATCCTCTGGAGTAATCATTGGCTTCTTCTCTGACTTGACTTTTAGGATAGCCTCACTAGAAATGCAGTCTAGAAAGACCATCTGAGTAACTCAAACCACTCACTTGGGTGCACAGAACTGGGTGATATGAACAGTCCTTTTGCTGTCAGCTTTCTTCTCTGCATTGACTGTCTGGTAGGGCATTGTGGAGAATTCCTTCTCCAGTTTTATTAGTATAGGTGTTCACAAATAACCTCTTGGATGTTGAATTTGCTTTATGACAAAGAAAATGAGAAAGAGGTGTGATACTGTTAAGCCAAATCTCATCTTCCCCATTTTCTGAGGTAGCAGTGGAAAAGTTGGACAAATTCAGCATTTTGATTATACCTGTTCTGGAGAAAATGAGTTAGTTTCTAATGCATATGCCCCAATCCCTATGTAAAATCATCTTCAATTATGTTTAACTTAACTCATGGGCAAACTGTCTGAATCAAAATCCCATTAAGACACTCCTAAACTAATTTATGAGTGCTCACAGTGGGGAACTGCCGTAATTTGGCTTACTGTGAAGGGATTTTATGTTGCAGAATATACTATCCTAAAACATCTTAACATAGTGTGTGAGCTTTTGGTGAGCCTTCATTCTGTGCTTGAGGAGACCAGAGAGCCTTCCAAAGCAGTGACCAGAATCAGAATTATATACTGAACTATGTAGACTACTGTCCAATATTCTTTGCAACCACTCATCCAACTAACTGTTCAAAACTAGCTGCAGTCCTTGTCCTTCATTGCTCTCCAGCTGGATGATGAAGAACCAAATGGAGACAGCTTTCAGTCCCTACATAAACTCTCAAGATTCAAGAACTCTGCCACCATAGTACAAAGAGAAGTCATTTCTGTGTCTGCTATGTTTCAATACTGTTTCCAGAAGTGTATCTGTCTAACATCCAATATTAGCTAATTCTCATCAGTTTTCCTTCCTTATTAACAGAGACATGTTGCTGTTTATCTTTTCAGTCTTTAAGCTGAAGGGGTCAATGTTTAAAGTTGGTATCTCACTGTCAGCTGTTCTTGTGACACCATTTCCTCTGCAGAGATGCTACGAAACTCTCCTGAGTGAAGAAACAGTGCAAACAGTTCATTAGGTCAGGTCAGAACCACATCACAGATAGGCACTGACCTGGAGATTTCTCTGACTAAAAGACAGATTTTCACCAGCTTAACCCTCCTTTTTTTTTTACTTCTTTAATAACTAGCAGCACAACTGATTACCCATAGTGAAAATCTGGAAAATAATTTAGTGGTCTTAATAGTTATTTCTCCTTTTTTCATTCAAAAGGGAACATTCAAGCACATTTTGTGAGAGCAGAGAGAGGGGATATCTCCTGAATGTTTTAGCTTATGAAGTCTTTTGTGTTTCTGTGCAGACAAGGCCCAACAAAACCAGAAGTGCTCTCAGTTCAGTGGCCAGGAAAGCGCTCAGCTCGAAGGCTTCAGAAGAACAGCCTGTTGCCAAATAGCCCTCATTTTAACACAGGTATGGTATTTTACATTTTAAATATATTTAAAACACATGCATAAACACACACACAGAGAAAAATGTACATGTATCGTCCTCTCAAAACTTTAATTTAGATACAGTAACTAACTCAGGTACTTCACTGACAGAAATGAATCTTCAGTTTAATATAGAAGGTATTAGCTCAAACTGTAAGGACAATAAATATTTAGCCATAAATCTGAACTGATAAAAATAAATACATAAATATGGGCCAAACTGCGATATTGTTTGGAGGCTGTGGGCTGATTCAACATTTCTTAAGTAACATTTGTAGCCTGCAGATAAGAACGAAAAGGTGAAAGCTATAACTTATACAGAACAAAGTTCTCCGTCAAGGCTTAGATTCCAGCTGAGGGTAACAAACAAGAAGCAGAAAGGAAACCTGAATGAAAAAAAGATTTCATTTAAGATGATACCAAAAAATTTGAAACAGTATTTCTGCTACAGAAAAAGTGAGAAGGTACTTCAGTAAACAGGATTCTTTGGAAGCATTGATATTAAACATGAGGCTGCAATGAAGGCTTCTCCAGGTTCAGTGATGTCTCCCAGAATCAATGCATGCAGATGACTGAAACCCCAAAGTATGCGGTGGGTCAAGTCCACTTCTTGACTGGTCATGCAGATCTCACTGCTTGCAGCCACATGCTTTCCCCTTCCTTTTTAACCCTCTCTTGAAGACCTTTCTGTCACTCACATTCATGACTCACTTTCTGCCACTCACCGAATGATGCTGTTCATTCAGCACGATGATGCAGGATGATATTTGGTCCCTTCCTGTGGTCTGCTGCTGTTCATAAGAAGGAAGGTCACATAACCTTATTACTGCACTCCTAATTCAGAGTTCAGAAGGAACCCAAACATATGCATGCTGTACCAAATCCACTTACTGCATTAATGCAATTTTAAAGAGCTAAGAACTTTCTCTACAGCTATTCTAATGTACTTTGCTAGACAAGATTTGTGTTTCTCTTGGTACTTGGTCTTCCCCCTTACTGCCTGCTGCCCACAAGCATGGTAACACTGTAGGTGTGTATATGCACTTAACACTCAAGCCAGCACGTCTTTAGCCTTTGTGCTTGTTCGGGTAAAGCCACACTCCCCTAGAAATCACACCTGTGCTGTGTCCCCGGCATTAGGATTTCTTTGTTGGGTCAAAAGATAGTGCAAGTGCTACAAGAACTCTCAGCTGGAAAATGAGCAGGTTAATGAACGCGCACATCAAGAGCACGTGTTGAAAAATCTTCAGTTTCCGATAAACAACTTTCCTGTCTCCTGAGAGCACTC